GCGTTCAGAAACCCTGAAATGCTGCGATTCCCCTATAAACGCCAACAAACGTTCTGGTTTCAGCCATGGTTTCTCTCTGGTGGTGCGAAATGAATGTCCTCCATCCACGTCTCCAGGTGCCAGTTGGCTTATTGATTTTGTCCCCTATCTCCCGGCAGGCTGGCTCGGCCTTGCATCCTGGCGGCATCGACTCTGTTCAATAGCTGGATGTGGGGATGTGTGTCTCACTCCGCGAGTTTCATACTTTAAGCTGTTTGGGAAGACCATTTTAGCGGCGAGCACAAAGTTTGGACCCTTTTTTGGCCCGGTGAGTGGTGTTCAGGGGACCTCATATCAAGTGATTATGAGCAGCCCTTTCTGTCCCCAAGGAAACACCCAGAAGTGGCACTCATTGCAAACCGCAAGTGGGACGTTGCTATATTTTTGGATGGCCATCCTTGGATCTCGGCAGACTACTTGTTGCAGTTTCTACTTCCCCATAGATTCCTCTAGTGAGCCTGTTTGGCCTGGTTGGTTGGTTGGTTGGTTGGTTGGTTGGTTGGTTGGTTGGTTGGTTGGTTGGTTGCGCCAGCGAGTCTTCAACAGCTTCCCGTTTTCGATCGCCTTACGATCGCACGGGAGTCAGGCAGAGCACCCCGCGGCGCCGCTCCTCGGACGCCCTGGCGCAGTACTTCCAGGCTAGGACGGCATTGACGATGGTCAGTGGGCTTGACTCGAGGCAGGTTTGGAGCCCCTCCGCAAATGGCTGGTTTTGTCTTGGTGCCCTTCAAAATCAGCCAAAAGGAGACCCCTTAACACACCCAAGTCGCAGGGATGGGACGTTTGTGCAGTTTCATGTTGCCTTCGTGGTTCCTGTGAGATGTGTTTCCGCACGCAAGCTGGGATGACGGCTGACAAAGTTCAAACATTGTTCAATAGGTGTCAGATGTTTTCCGGTGGCGTGAAACGCGCAACGCAGAGTTTTTGTCCTTTCCCCAACCTGGACAAACCGAAAACAACCACGCGGGGTAAAATCGTCACTGGGGGCACGCTTTTCTTGGGATTCAGGGAACAGGAAGCCCATTTCAAGGGTAGCCTTTGAGACGATCCTGCCAGGCGAAGCGCGAAAGAGCCTCGGCACAAATGGGCCCGGAGGTCGACGTGAAGATGTGGCTGTGAATTTGAATGGGCCCGAAATCGTATGCACCGAAGAGTGGGGGGGATTCATGTCCACCAACCGCTAAAATGAGCTTTTGATATCTGTAGAGGTGGCTCCCTACTAGAATTCATGACAGCTCTGGGTTCCCATTCAGGAAACCATGTGGCCTCGCATTCAACAGTTTAGAGAATGGTGGACTGAGAAAATGAGGAATCCGTTGTATAGGCCATTGTTGGTTTGGGGATCTTCGCAGACACCCGAATTCGCCAAAACAACTCAGAATTTGACGACGTTCTTTTTGAGAACGAAGAATACTCTTGGCCGACATGCATTCACTACAATGTGGAAACTCGAGTCTCTCATGGATCCTTACAGGGTTTGCCAACATTCAAACTCCAGTCCCTTTTTGCATTGGGCCCAGGGCCGGAGGAGCCAGGAAGGCGGGGGAGCAAACCAATGAAGCCAGCTGAGGTCTCAAGCTGTTGCCGTGCCTCGCTGTTTTTGTTCTTCGACGTATTGAAAACAGACCTCACCTTACCCCTAATGGGTGGTTTTGGTTTGGATGTTAAGAACCTTCCCATTTGGTTTCCAAAGGTTGGGGTTCAAATCCCCAAAGCAATCCAATCCAATCCATAACCAAGGCTGAGGACCTGAGGTATTTTGGTCAAGGGCAGGTCTATGGGACTTGGCGTGTTTGCTTCGGGCTTCGGAGCCAGTTTCGGGTCTGCGTCGGAAAACCAGGGCTGCGGAACCACACTGCGAGGTTTGAGCGTCAGATTCGGCGGCCGGTCATGGAATACTCAGACGGAGACTGTTGGCGGTGCCAGGTCTGTGCCGCGGTTTGGCGCGGAGGATGGCCAGGAGCGTCTCATTCATGGCCAAAGCACAGGGTTTGCGGCCCAGGCCGCGGGAAAAAAACAGCCGTCTGTTTTCACCCCCAGGTTTGAAGCAATCAGGAAAACTTTCGGACCACACACCGGAAGGTAAGATCTCCTAAGCAGCTTTGTTCAGAACCTGTTCTTGCAAAGTTGGAGGCGCCAAATGGCCAGAGTTTTCTTTGCAGACAAAAGGGTGTTGGATCTTGTCCACACTGCAGTGAACATCTCACACGCCAGAAGCTGTTGCTTTCCCTTCTGATCTCCTTGAGTTCCAAACGGTTGAACTTTGAAAGGCTGGCGGGCATAGGGCAGCTCCCCGGGCCCAAAGGAGCCTCGCAGACATGCGGACTTCCGTTTCTCGAGCATTTGCCCGTGTGTTTGCATTTGCGGCACCCTGGGAACCACCAGCACGTTTTCACAATTGGAGTTTGGTTTGCCAGGAGTCCTTGGAAGCTTCGACAGCCGCATCCGCGCTCAAAAAGCTGGAGGTTGGAGTGGCGAGAGATAGAACTTTTCGCGCCCCAGAACCCCCACAAACACACCTCCAATTTTGATTCGATTTCGGTCTTTCCAGAGGGGCTGTGTTTGGGGTGGCGTGCTTGGCGGGTCCCCTCAATGTGTTCCCGGGAGTTTGGCCATTTTGCAACTTCGGTCCCATCCTGGTTTCATGGGATTGTTTCTTTTTTGTTTTGTTTTTTCGGTTTAGGGTGTGTGTGTGTGTGCCACCTTGAAAGCCAGGTAATAGGTAGATCCAAAAAGCAAGATGTATTGGGCGCAGCTTATGTTGCAACTATCCCATGTGCAGCATTGGGGTACCTTCTAAGAAACCAACCCCAGCCAAAACTTGCGCTGGCCAGGCCGAGCTGATCACTCTGAAGCTTACAGACCTCAAGATCCGGGCAGAGGCGTTGGTGCTGTGGTCCTGCGATGGGGCGCCCCTTTTGGATAGTGTTGAAAGGGGAACCGAACACAAGCTAACCACCTTTTTATTTGTTTGATGGTTTCTTACAGGACCTCTTTGGGATGCCGCGTTGTTGTGAGAGCAGAACCGTTTGCACTTGCTACTTGCAAGCTATCTGACATTTTTGGTGCCTCCCAGAGCAAGAGAACAAACATACCCCTGGCTCTCAAGATGCGCCTGGTTTTGGCGGCGAAGCCATCTTTTGGGCTGAGTTCGCGGACTTTGGGTCAAGCTTCAGTCTGGCTCGAGTGTAGATTTGTTGGGCCACCCGAAACCTGCAAACTTGTCTTAGGTCAAAAGAGAGACATTTCCCAAGCAATGCAATGCCCGAACAATGCCCGAAGTAGTTTCGCGCATCTTGTCCTGGGTTCGGCTTTGTCTCGAAATTGTGGAGGCCACGAATGGGTGCCTTCCCTTTGGTTTCCCTGCAGCACTATATCCAAAACAGAACATGGATAACCCAACAACAGCAACCAAACATAGAACCGTGTTTTATACAACCTCAGGTATGCTCCAACAAACAGACATACTTCTTGTGACTCAGCTGCTCGGCCGACTGCATCTTCGCGTGGCCCAAGCTTGACGCAGCGAGCAGGTGCCCGCAAGTCCGTTGGCCTGTCTTGGCCTGGCTCATATGGAAAGCACCGAACCACAGATCTGTGGGCCAGGAGCTTCCATGTCCTTGCTTTCCCCCCGAGAGTAGGCTTCCTGGACAAAGATGAGAGAAAGGGTTCCCAGGAGGTACAGGAAGCGCAGAACTCGGGCCTTTGCGAGAGACGCGTATAGAATAAAAGCTAAGCCATACAGTGCCGTGCCGCGCTCTATGGCGAGCCATGGGCTATTTGCGGCGTGTTCCTTTGGTGCTGCTTTTTCCTTTGGCGCTGGGCTGTGACGTGGCCTCCAGCAGCGGCCTCCGAATCACAGGCTGAAGGGCCTGGATTCGAGGAGAAGCAAAGCCTCCCGAATTTTGCGAAAGACCCTGGGGCTTCAGACCTCGCGATGCAAGCTGAAGGGGGTCGATGTGGGAATCAGTTGGCTTGGTGTTCGTCAAAGGCAGCCAGACTCCAGTTGCCCTCTGGAAGGAACAATACGTTTAAAGGGTGAGGCTGGCTCAACCCTGGCGCGAGCGCCCCGTAGGAACATTGAACCAATCCCGGCTTCTGCGCAAGTTGAGAGAGAGAGAGAGCTTGAGTGACGGGCCAATACGGCCCAAGATGGACAACGGCCCAAGGCTATCTCCAATAGTTGGCCATGATCCCTCTTGGTTTGGGGGAAGCATTTTTGCGCCTACTATGCCAGGCCTCACACACAATCCGAAGTACAACGGAGAATACGTGCGGGATGAAGATGCCCCAGCCTCAGCTCTTTGGCCCAGGCCACAGGCCCCAGCGCTTGGCTGAAAAGCGCTTGTCGGCCCGGTTGGGACTTGAAACCGCAGTGTTTCAATGATCCTCAACTCTCATTTCGACTCGCTTGAGGTGTTCCTTTCCGGAACGGCAGACACCAGCAGCACCGCCAGTACTTCCAGTCATAGCATCTTACCAGAATGATGTAAAACCTCCGATACATCTCATCAGTTGTTACTATGGTAGCTTAGGATTCCTGTCTTAAGACCAACTCGGTCAGACCCTGGATGCCCTTTCGTGTTACCCAGCACCAAGCACTAGCCGAGGTGAACTCCCAGCCCAGCTTTTGGCAGCGGATCTCGGAGAACTGCGGAGAGGTGATGAGGACGGAGACCCGTCGGATCCACCCTTGGCAGCCAATTAAATAAATGGATTGAACAATAAATAAGCACGTTGTGACATGTACCAATCAGTAGATGAATGAGCAAGCAGCAGAATGGATTAATCCCGACAAACACATAAATCGAGCACCGCTTAAGAACACATCTTATAGATAGATTGAGTAAAAGCAAACAAGTGATCAAATAGCACAATATTAGAGAAGTAAATACATGAACCAATAACTAATTGACTACCCAAAGCAAACAAGCAAACAAAACAAACACGTCAACATGTTATATAAATAACATAGACAAATTCATACACTTATTAGTTAGTGAAATGACAGAAAGACAGAAGGACAGAAATAGGTTCTGAATGAATGAATGAATGAATGAATGAATGAATGAATGAATGAATGAATGAATGCATGAATGAATGAATGCATGAATGAATGAATGAATGACTGAATGAGTGAGTGAGTGAGTGAGTGAATGAATGAATTATTGGATGGATGGAATGGAAATAAATTGGAATGAATGGCGTGAACGGAATGAATGAAGTTAATGAATAGAATGCATGACATGAACAGACATGATTCAGATGAATGAAATGAATTTATGGACATGACATGAAGTTAAATGGCATCAATTGAAATCCAATAAAATGACATGACATTAAACATTGGATAGATAGGTAGGTCTGTAGATAGATAGATAGATAGATAGATAGATAGGTAGGTAGGTAGGTAGGTAGGTAGGTAGATTAGATAGATAGAGGGATAGAGAGACAGAGAGATAGATAGATAGATCGATATATACATATATATATATATAGATATATATCGACAGATGGATAGATAGTTACACAGATAGGCTAGATCGATATATAGCTCAATAGATAGATGGATGGATAGATAGATAGATGAAGGACATATTTCATTGAATAATTAGATACATACATATATGCGTGCAAACATACATGACATACGAACATACATATGAGATAGACAGATACGTAGACAACTCAACAATATACGAATAACTATGTACATACCTGCGCACGAACAGAAACTCATATATGAGTACAAAACTAGCTAACCAAATGAATACCCGAGTAAGTATATAGAAACAAAGCGAACACACAAATCAAGCACACATACACACATACATAAACACATCAATACATTGTACACATACATACATAAATACACAACACATGTGAACCATTAGATAACTGAATAGCTAAGCAATCTATAAGTACACTGTGCATATATACATATATTACATACGTATGCATATACATGTATCATGACATGTACCGATCTTTTGGACCCAAGGTCTTTGTTTTTTAGGACGCTCATGCCTCAAAGATCGGCGGGGCGCCAGGAAAGGTGAGTGCGGTGCCAAGCACTGGATCAAGCTGCCACAAGGCGCGAACTCCCTGCGACTTCCTTGGAGTCATTGGCAGGGTTTAGGAGCAGCACGGATGTGGGGGATTTCTTCCCAGCACTTAAAGTTACCCTGCTTCTTTCGGGGCTTCCCTAAGATCCGATCCTAACGGTTTCGTTTCGCCACATGGGCGTTCGAACAGATTTGGCCAATTGGCATCGCTCCAAGCGACAGCTTTCGTTTGTTTGCAGGCAAGGCGGTTTCCCATAGCAATAAGTGTCCTTTTTCATTTCAACTCATTCTCTAACTGCTGATTTGGGGGACGGAACCCTTACTCCACTTTTCCATGAAGCGGGCGAGGACTACTCAAATGACCGGTAATTTATGTGGGGCTTTTTAAGATGGTGACTCCCCCCTTCAGCAATTGCACCCCCCAGCCACAGACAATCAACACGCGGGCAGATGAAGTAGTAGGGGACTGCAAGGAATAGACCCCTTCAACTTGGCCGCTAGGCCAGCTTGGTTGGACCCTTTGGTGGGCATCATTTGCATGCGGATTTATGTCCACCAAGCCATTTTTGACGCTATTATTCACTTAGGTTCGTTCAGGTTTCGTTGAGGGCGCCCGCTTTTTTGGGCCAAGGGAAACCAACTCGAACCGGACCGCTGGTTCTGAGGGCGCCGTCCATCCGCAGGCAATGCCTCAAAGGCGGCCTGCCACGAGGCCTGCGCCAAGGCGGGGGACCCTTTGCTTTGGCCCCAAAGGGAACATGGGCCAAAAGCCAAAAGCCGTGCGGATGGCGCGGATGGCGTTGAGCAAAATGGGATGAAGGTAAATGGGGGGCAAAATGGTGCGATCTAGACTTTCATCCAGCCGTACCAGCAATCGTATCCGGCATGTGATGTGAGGGACCTTAGTGGAGAACCTGTGTTTTCCTCCAATGCCTTGGTTTTTTTTTGGGCAAGGCGCGTGAATCACCCGGTTCAACGTGAGATCAACCGGGCCTCTCCCAGGAGGGTGCCAGTGGCTGCTGCCGCCATGGAACCTTCGCAGGGATGTCGGGCTATGGGGTTGCTGCACCTCCAGGCCACGGGACCTGAGACAAAGCCGCCATCCCAAAGCGGGCGCATGGAAAGGGACAGCCACCGTTTTTTTGTTTTTTCCCCTCCCTGGTTTCCTTTTTTTTCTCCTGAAAAAATGAAGTTTGAGAACCCCTCAAAGTACAACTTCAATAAGTGAGCCAGTGGTTGAGCAAACTGCGGCCTGGGATTTTGATTTTTTTAGGCACGGGATCGGGGTGCTCCTCAGCTGAGCTGTACCTGCATTTCTTTCCATTGGAAGCAGGCCCCCAGAGCAACGCAGCTGTCGCTGCACTCTGCACAGCTCGCTGTGGCGCTGGTTTCGTTCTTCCTAAGATGCACGCAGACCCGGGACAAAGCACCCTATGACATTGCCACGCAAGCCCCCCGCCCCCCCCCCCCCCCGGCGCCCTCTCCGATTCCTACTTTTTGGGATTGAATTCCGCTTCGTGTCAGTGTAGATTGGTGGTTTGTCCCGTGATTCAATTCGGGTTTCATCCATCGTTGGTGCCCGGCGTGCTGTCGTCCATCCACAGTATGTCAAGAACCCACCAGAGAAGCTGTCCAAGAAAAGATGTGCTCAAGGCGGTAGGGAGGGTAAGTCAGTGAGACCCTCTAGTTTTTGCGGTTGGCATCTAGAGCTCGTCCCCCCATGTCCATTTCTCTCAAACAGATCATAGACGCGTGATTTTGACCGAAACTCATATGCCTGTGAGTTTAAAAAGACCCTCCTCAAACATGGTTCAAACATGGTTGGCCATGAACCTCGAAGTGATGTCCACAACAACGACCAAAATTCCAATTCACGTGTCAAAATAGGGGGACCCCATTTCATGGTGAAATGTTCCCTTAAGTCTCCCGAACCAACCCCACACGTTGTGACCCATACCCTCCCAACAGTTTACATAGACCTGACGTTCGAGGGGTCCTAGTTTGGACTATGTTCCTTTGAAAGGCACCATTTTCCAGTCACGTCAGGTTAAAAGGGCAATCCTTAATCCTTGCCTTGGTTTACGCAAGGAACCGGTACTTTTTGTAGGGGCTTCCCTACAGGGATTGTGGCAAATCGGATTGGCCAAGCCTCCATTTTGGAGAGCCCAGTTATGAAGTCTTGTCAATGATGCCCTTTCCATCGGGACTGTCTCGGCTTTCTGCCATTGTTTCCCCACACACCCAACACCAGTGAATATTTACCAATGGTTGTTGACCCATAGTTATTCACCCAGTGAAGTTGGAACAATTCTTGACCAATTACCAATTTTTGACCCACCGAAGTTGGACCAATCGACCAACGGTTGCTGACCATAGGTGTCCTTGGTTGATTTGGTTGAAACATAGAGGGCGAATCCTGGTTCACCTGGTTCAATCAACTACCAGAACCATCTATTTTCAACCAAAAAGGACGCCTATGTTGCAGCCCAGCCCAGCCAACAACTTCCGATCCGATCCCTCGATGTCAGGCTGCGCCCTGGGCCGCGGCCGCGTGATCTTCGAGGCGATGCCCAACTTCGCGGCGGTGGCCGACTGCCACGGCCGCGCCTTCGTGTCCTTCCAGGCGAGTGGATCCCTCCAGCGCGGCCGTGTTCTTTGGTTTTCCGGTCGGGTGGCACAAAGAAAAGGGACACATGGTGCATTTCTTGATATATGTTTTCTCTTTCCATTGTTTTTTACGCATGTTATGTTGTTAGTTTGTTTTGTGTTTTGTTGTTGGGGGGAAGCAACAAGAAGACCGTTTTTTGTCTCAGAATTAGTGGGTTTGTGGGGGACGGAGGGTGGTCAACAACCCGAACTGAGGTTCCTGCCCCCTTCCTGCCCCCTTCCTTTGGAGGTTCCTGCCCCCTTGAGGTTCCTGCCCCCTTGAAGCAAGATTAAACTACTTGAGGTTCCTGCCCCCTTCCTTCCAACTCAGACTTCCCTTTGGAAAGAACTTGGGCGCCAGTTCCTCGTGCAAATGGGCCTCGCCTTTCTGGACCTTTTTTTGATTGCGCCATTGAAGATTCGAATCTGCGTTTGGAAGTTGCAATTGACAGGCAATCATATTCGGTCGATGCGATTTTGCAATGCAATTGAGTTTACCCAATTTTTCAGGTGGTTTATCCCAACTTTCAGGTGGTTTACCCAATTTGTGGTTTACCCAGTTTTTCAGGTTTACCCAATTGTTCAGGTGGTTTACCCTGATTTTCAGGTGGTTTACCCTGATTTTCAGGTGGTTTATCAACTTTTTCAGGTGGTTTACCCCATGTTTTGGGTGGCCGGGGGGTCTGTGTGAGGCGGGCGCCTGGGCGCTTCGGCCACCCACCTGGGATGGAGCTTCTCGGCGAAGCGAAGCTGATGACTCGGATTTGGAGAGACCGAGCTGAGTTCGAGGACGGCGGATTTTCTTCGTGTCAGGGGATCAAACCCACCCCCCCACCCCCCACCCCCCCGCCCTCCACCCCACCGGCAAATGTGGTTGAGACAAGGCAGCCTCCAGTTTTCTTGGGGAAATCAGAAGGATGACAGTTTCAGCCATAGTAAAGTGTGTTTAAACACATGCGGAAATGGGTTGGTCGCCCACCCTGGGTGTCACCGCCCTTTGGCGCCCCCCGGCGCCTAAGTCACTGAGGTAGACGACCAGCTGCAGAGCTCCACACTGGCCGAGGGCGCTGCAGATGGGAACCTCTCCGAGGGCTTCGTTCGTCGCCTGGCGGATGTGAACCGAATCCTCTTTTACCTGTTGGTCTTTTTGGGTGGCTCTCAGTCCACGCTTGAGACAACTGGAGCATGGAGAACCGAAGTGAAGCTGAAAGGGCGGATATCCGCTTTTGATTCTGTTCATGACCAAGCTTTGATTGTCTTGTTTTCAAGGACATCCTTTTTGCGGGTTTTGAAGGGAATCCGAAGAGAAGTCGCCCATTTTGGCTTGACACATGCGCATACATGCGCCACAGTTAAAACGCCCTTTTGAGGGCTCCCTGTCGGTGAACCATGCCCTAAGGCGTTTTGACCCACACAATGCAAGCAACTTCCAATGAGGGGCAATGTGTTCTGTGCTTGCCATTCTTGCTTTTCTGAACAAAGACTCGTCGGAGTCTATTGGACAGGGCACTCGACACCAATATCCTCACCAGGGAGGGGTAGCTTTCAGAAGCGAGTGTGCGGCCAGCTTTTTTCTTCGTGGTTTTGCATACTCGCTTGGGACGTGCAGACTATCCCAAAGTCATCAGAACATAGAAGTTGGCGCAAGGGCACGCAAATGTTTCTGACAATGCCAGTGAAATGTATGAAGCGACATTACCATGTCAGATTTTTGCACATAGATGTCGCGGGTAATCACTTACCAGCGTCATCCATGTTTCACTCCTGGCAACATTTTTCCGTGGGCCTTCCGCAGATTTGAGGCGAGTGGGGCGACCGACAGTGGCCAGCGAAGTTCGTGGATGCCGATGTCCAGATCCAGCTGCTTTGTCCGGAGCCTGAGGAGTGGTGGGAGATGAACATGGGGCTCAACATGATGTCTTTTTGTTGGAGAGTACCCGATTTTGGGTTAGTGTCGAAGGGAGCCCCCAAAAATTAGGCAGCTTTTTTTGTTGGGCCGTGTGTGCGTGTGTGTGTGTGTGTGTCACAATATTGCAGGGAACTCCCATCAGCTGAGGCCAAAGAGCCAGCAATAGATCCGCATCTAAACGGAGACGGAGTTTCATCTATCCAGGGCTTGTTGCTCGACAGGATGCTTCGTGGCAGCTTTGGCTCGGCATCTTGGCCGGCGTCACTCGGCGCAGAGTCTGCAAGCGCCTTTTGATCAGGTCCAAAAGAGGGGCTCATGAGTTTGTGACAACCCAGGCGAACTAGACAATTCTTCGTGGGCACCGGTCTTTGCTTTCTCATCTTTGGGGAATGCTGTGGGCAACGGTGTTTGCCACTTTTTTTTTGGCCATTCTTTGGGAATGCTCGGCATTCCGCACTTTTGAAGCGCCCGACGGCTTGGGCAGAGCCCTGAGGTGGCCGTGGTGATTGCGCTTGCTTCCGTGGCGACGCTGCGGTGTTTGCCGGGCAAGAAGCAGGCCACCCGTCAGGGAAGTTTCAAGCAATACCTCGCAGGCCGACCACCCAGATGGTTCATGACATTAGCAAGAATGCTCATCGAAGACCATGCTTGGGCCTGGTTCCCCTATGGTGGTTCAGGGCAATGGGTGCCCAAATTTGGGCCCTTTATGTGTCAAAATAGGGAGCACCAGGGACTGGCACCTGGTGCTATCATGGCTTTCGTCGTAAACCAGCCAACGCCAGAGAACTCCACCCGAGGCGGAGCCCAGAGAGGAGCCATCAGAGAACCCGGATGAGACCTGGGATGTGGTGCTGGGCCGTGCAGAGGTGAGGATCTTTGGAGCTTGGGAATACCAACGAAGCTCTCGTTTGTTTTTGGGGGGGGGTGAAGGTTAATGGGTGTGTTTCCTTTTTTTGGAGGGTTGCTTTATTGTAAACGCTTCGCGTTGCCCGCCTCGGCCCAGCCTAGTTTGAGGGAAGGGTCAGGAACACCGAAATCCAGTGTTGGGAAGGTCCGAATACCTGAAGCTGGCTCCAGACAAGTCAGACAAGCCGGCCTCGCCTGGTTGGGCTGGGCAGCTGGATTATGGTGTTGGTTGCGCCTGGAACTTCGGCTGGCTGGGCTGAGCTGTGCTTGGGCGGGTCGCTGGATGGGCTGAGGCTGGGTAGCGAGTTGCTGGCTAGGCTGGGCCTGAGGCCAGTCGCAGACACGTAAGACCCAACACCGGCTGAGGGACTGGGCCGCGCCGAAGGGGCCTGGTCAGCCTGGGCTGCTGAGTAGCTGGCAGACTGGTCGTTGGCCTGAGGCCAGTCTGAGACACGTTAGACAAACCTGACCTTGGCACACTGGGTTGAGCCTGCTGGTGGGCTGGGAGCTGGGGGCTGGTAGTGGCTGGCATGCCCTGAGATGCGCTGGGGCCTGGGCTGGCAGGCTTTGGGCTGGGCCTGAAGCTAGTCTCAGCCACAAGGCTGCGAAGGGTTGCTGGCTGCCGGGCAGCCGGACCAGGGCTGAGCTGTGCTTGGGCGTTGCTGGCCTGTTTCATACACACTTGGGCCTGAGGCTGGGTGGCGAGTTGGCGCCTGAGGCCAGTCTCAGGCTGGCGTACTTTGAGACGGGGCTGGGCCTGCTGGATGACTTGGGGCCAGACGCGAGCAGGAGGTCAAGGCCTGGCCAGGGTCAGACGGGCTTGGTGGAGACCAGTTTCAGACACGTACTGGGTCGTTGGCGAAAGACAAGCCTGACCTTGGGGCCGGCCTAGGGCCTGGGCTGGGCGCTGGGCTGGGCTTGCTGGATGACTTGGTAGGCCTGTTTCAGACAAGCTTGGGCCTGAGGCTGGGTGGGGCTGACAGGCCTGGCCAGCAGGCGGGTTGCTGGTTGGGCTGGGCCTGAGCCTAGTCTCAGACACGTCAGGCAGGCCTGGCCACCAGGAGGTCATGCTTTTCAGGACAAAAAAGCAATTTTCAGCAATTGTCGGCACAATTTCGCTGGAGCTGGACGCCGACGAACCCCGAAAATTTCAAGGCCCGCCGGACAGGATTTTGGGTCCAGCCGACATGGGTGGGGGGGGGGGGGGCGGCAAAATTTTGGGAGGGGGTTGGGGGAGGGGAAAAGCGAAGATTCTCTTTGGAGAAGAGATCTGAGCGCCCTTGGCCCCTTTGGGGCCGAGGCGAATTGGTGCTTTTATTTCCTTTGTTTAAAGGGAACCAGGACACAGCAATTCCGGGGTCCCCTATTTTTAAGACACACCCGAATATGGATCTTTACTACTCCTAGGCAGTAGAAGCCAAAGACAGCCGCATGGAGTTTTGGGTGCGTTCCCCTTGAGTTGGGAAAGACCACCTGTTGTGGCCAGGTTTCGTTTGGTTTTGACAAAAAAGGCGTCCATGGTCAATCTTGCGAAGTATTGTCATGACTATTGTCATGCTTGCCCTTTTGGGGTTGCTTTTTAAGGAACGGGAAGCACCCATGTGGTAGGCAGACTGCCAATGGCATTGTGCCACAGTCAAATAAACTCATTTGAAGCTAAGAGCTTTCGGGTTGAGATTCGGCTATCACAACCTTCTTCCGACTGGGCTGGAACCCCCCCTTCCAGCTCCCCAACAGTGTCTCACAGGTTCCCCTTGTGCAGACCTATGAAAAAAGTCTTTTGACAGGAAATTTGCGGTAAGCTTCCCTGAGGATGCCGAGCCGCACGTCTGACCAAGCACAAAACCGTTTTTGGAGCGGGCAAAGTGGCAGCGAACAGCGAGAGAGACGACAGACCGCGCGGGTGTTACGAAGCCGCCATCGTGTAAGATTAAAGATTGTCCTCAGCTGGCCGTGGCTTTTGATCGATTCAAAACTGAGTTTCCTGTTTTGCGCCTTCACAAGGGTGAAGTCCACATTGCCCGATGCATGGAACTTTGCACGAATTGCAAATGGCAGTGCGTGGCCTCTATATCTAAAGGGCGCCAGCATCTCGTCTTTGCATGTCTGAGTTGGGTAGACCAAGGCGTCTATCGACCTGAAACAGGTCACGTCCTTTCCGGCTCTTGGTGAGCCATTTTCCATGCGCATGGCCAGGCGGCCATAGATAGAGGTGCCTATTGCTAGTGCCGCGTGTGCTATCGGCCTTGAAAAGATGGGCTCAACCTTTGAGTGTCAGACCTTCGTTTTTGATAATTTGAGGCACTGGCTTGTGGATCTCTATAGCCATACAGCTGACCGCTTCTGGTCCTTTTGAGCCAACCTGCCAACTGTCCAGCTGCCTGTGTGGGTGCAGGCAACTGGTTTCCAGGGCTTGCGGCAATTCCATGGGACCCAAGGTCAGCTATTGCTTTTTTCCCAGCCCCCTCGGTTCTTTTCTTTTCGAAGATTGAGCAACTTCCCCGGACTTGCCTCTCAAATTGCCAAACATTATTATTCTAATTATCATTTTGTGTTTTTATTATTATTGTTATACATTGGCTCTTGCACCATTTCAACAGTCGACCAAATACGGTTTCTTGCTTTCTTTCTTTCTCTGCTGATCACGTGCCTGAAGCCGCAGAGCATTCCATTGGCCGGGGTTCCAAATCCAGCTGTAAGCCTCGGAAAGTTCAGTGCAACAAGTTGGGCTTCGGCTTCGCGCTTTTGGGACTCGCCTGGCTTTCCTTTGCCGCATCGCAAGGTTTTGAAGAAGGAAGTCTTTCAAAACGGAGATCAAAGACTTCGGTTGGTTTGTCTTTTGGTTCTGTTTTTGGATTTGGTCTTTTGGGAAGCAAGATCCCAGACGCGCAGGCCTTCGGAGCACGTGCAAAGTTCATATGGCTCGTTTATATGAGTGTCTTTCACTCAACTCGCAGCACCAGCTTGCCAATCCAGTTGCAAGGAACTTGACCTCACTACATTGCCTTTGCATATTGCCTGAAAGTCGTTGCTTTTGAGGCTTTGCATGGCTTTGCTTTTTCTCGCAGATGGTTTCCTGAGATGTCTTCGGCTTTGTGGGTCAAGGGCCACAGGCCTCTTCGCGCCCTCCGCCCTGCCGGCGCTTGCATAGCTGTTAGACCCACGTCCTGTGGCTCGCACATTTAGAAAAGCGCCTGAGGTCCTCAAGCATCCAGAAGCCAAATCACTTGTCCGTGGAGGGCCCTGTGGTTTTGCCTTTGGAAGGGTCAAAGGTCTAGCCCAGGTCATCTGCATTTATTCAGGGCCAAATAAATCCCTGTTTCGTTTAGTTTTTCCGCGCCCTGGCAAATAGAAATGAGGACTAAAACCTGCGGTCCCCCAGTGATTTAATTTTCACCCACGCCCATCCAGCCACTTCCTTCATTCGACCCGGGCCAATTTGTTTACCCCTGCAAGACTGCTCGATCTTGCCATGGGGACAAATCAAGTCGTCTCAAAATGCGGAGCACTCAAAATGCTCCTTTTTTTGGGGGGGGGGAAGAAATCTTTGGCTTCCCTTCAACCCCCAGGAAACACGACCCCCGCGGCTCCCGCTCTCAGTCGAAGGTGTGGGGCTGCGAGAGTACGGCGCTGGACCGCGCGCAGGAGCAGGCGAGCCCCAGAGCCCGGGGCCCGGATGGATCGGTCCCAGGCCGGCGGGTCCTGTGTGTTTTTGAGGCTACCCCGTGTTTTGTTTTGTTTTGCGAGATGCAGGGAAGGAGCAATGGAATTTTAAAAAGAATTATATTTGCGAGGAAAAAAAAGCACATCATCGATGTGGTTGCCTTTAAGGACAATGTTTTTTTTGGTCTGGACGCGAACCATCCTGCAGCCTGCATTGATACGTTAGTTCTTGCTAAAGATCTCAGCTGATGACAACTTGTTCATGCCGGTGAGGAACCCATTCCCTGTAACATGGTTTGAGTTTGCGTTTGATTGTACTTGTTTATGCCGATGTGGGCTTGTTGTGCACATGACCACTCCTCCCACACTTTCTTCTTTGAAAGAACATGAAACTGCCGAACTGGACTTTGCTCGAAGCCCAAAAAACGCTCGAGAACAACCAACAAATGCTACAACATATCAGTGTGTGCATCGAGCCAGGGAGGAGTCATATTTGGACATATTTGTATGTTACGATGGCGGCTCCTGGACAAGGAACACCACGATGTTGGGAATACCCCAAAAAAGACACACCCAAGCCGATGTAGCCTCCTGTCCACATGGAACCCGGCAGAGTTCCATTTGAAAGGATACCGGTCTTCGACCGAAAACGGACTAGGTTTCTGATTGGTGGGAGCTCTGGTTCAAACCAGCGATCCAAGCCTAGCGGGAAGCTGATGGAAAGGATACTCAAGAGCTGGATTCCCCCGGTGATTGTTGGATTGAACCAGTTTTGACGCCGAGATAGGCTGAGTTTGGGTTGGACAGATCCATGGTTTGAATGTGCACAGCATCCTGCATGGGATGGAGCGGGATCTTTGATGCTGTTGACCGCAGCGATCCCGTTTTTGGCGAGACACTTTTTCCCGCGGGATTCCTTTGGGGGGGTCCTTTCTTGGGGATCCCTTTGACTGGGAGCATTGACCAAGGGAATCCCCTTCTGGCCAACTTTGGTATCACGAGGGTGATTGTTTGCAACCATGACATCCCTTTTCTTGGGATCCCCTCTTCATTTCTCTTTTTTTCGGAGCGGACTTCCCTTCAACCTTTAACTGGCTGGGCTTGGAGTCTTAGGGATGAGAAACCGAGCAGGGAATTGCTATTTTATCACGAGTGCTTGAACAAATGAGAAAATGGAATGTTTCCACGGGCCAAAGAGAAAAGGTGTCCTTCCCCCTTGTTTGACAGAGGAGAATGAGAGGGTCGGAGTTGAAATGCAACAAAAGACACGCAATTCACATAGGTAGATTCGTTTTTGGATGGCCTTGAAAGGAGAAGCACAAGGAAAGCAGCCGTGTGTTCGGTTGAACAGTGGTTTGTCTCTGTGCTCATTCCGCATAAACTAAGACCACCTGCCGAGTCAGGAACAGGCCGCTAAAGGGAAGCATGGGAGACACATTTTGGGTGCCTCGCCGTGAGACGGAGATGTCGGGTCCGAGGCCGCGGTGGCAACTCTGATTCTGGTGACTCGGCACGCAAACCGTTTTTGTTGGCAGATCCCCCAATTGTGTTGGACTCGGATCCGCAAACCTGGTAACTTCCCATTCCCACGGGATCCTGCTCCCGGGCCAGAAGCCAGGGTGCCAGCAGCTTTGGGCTTTGCTTCACTTCAAAGAATCGGTTTGTGTCTTTTTTTGGTTCGAATGTTTTGGGCCGTTGGACACCATGTTTGGCCTGACTGCGGAAACATGGGGCCTGATGGGACTAGCCCCTTAGCCCTCCATGTTCAGAGCTCAGGTCTTGGCAAAAAAATCCTCGTTTGGTCCAGTTTACCTTTGCCCATAGGAATCTTTCTTTCCTCTAATCACCGCCAAAAGGAAGCGGCACGTGGGACGCATCCCTATCTATGGATCCGTTGCTGCGTTGCCGCCACAACGCAAGGCTACTTGGGGCACAAGGCTGCTTGGTCGGCCCGCTGTTTTTGTGAAGTGTTTTCTTTGGGTATAACTTCCCATTTGATGGTTGTCGGTGGCTGCCATTCTTTGTGCAGGTGGATTTTTTCTCAGGGTCTATCATTGGCCTGCTGGGTCGGCCTGCTGCCTTTCGTGAAGTGTTTTTTTAGTAGAGCTTCCCATTTGCTGGTTGTCTGTGACTGCCATGTTTTTGTGAACATGAGTGTTAAGATGTTCAATTTCTCAGTTGTTTTTTCAGATTTAACACATTTAAGGTTCTATAATTTTACGATTTCAAGACTGTAAACAACATGTTCAGATTTAAAGGTTTTCAGATGTTA